GGAGGAGGAGGGAGGGGCACGGCCACGCCCTGGAGGAGGAGGAGGAGGGGGAAGGGGCACGGCCACGCCCTGGAGGAGGAGGGGGAGGAGGGAGGGAGGGGCCTGCACTGCTGCAGCAGCCGCTGCTCTTCTCCCCCAGACCCCACCCGCTGGGACCACACAGCCCAGAACCTCCTCCGGATGGGCCTGGCGTTCCTGGTGCTGGTGGCTCTGGCGTGGCTCCTGGCTGAAGACTGGCTGGGCAGGAGGAGGGCTGCAGCTGGGAAGGCCGGAGGCCGAGAACGCAGAGCTCCTGAAAGAGGGGCCGAGGGACAGTGCCCACAGGTGGCACTGAAGCTGGCTCCTCGGCCTCAAGCCATGTGAGCTCGGCCTGACCCCTAGAGGACAGGTCATCGCAGGAATTGGGCACCAAGGAGGTGACTGCACAGGGTTTGGCAAGGCATCCCAGGGGAGGCAGCCAGTGGGGCGGAGACGCTGGACGCCCCCCTAGACCACCCGGAGCTCTCCGCAGGCAGATGTTCAGGCACCTCGAGAGGACCCAGTGACTTTTTAAATCTGAGTTTTCTGTGGAATATCAGGAGATGTCAAGTCCGGGCTGACAGACAGCCCAGCCGGAGCTCCGGCGTCACATTACCCCCGGTGGCCACGATGCTATTCTCTGTACCATGGAGATGGGGCTGGGACCCGCCCTCTTCACTCCCAGGTCCCCATTCTGGACCTCCGCTCCTCCGTCCCTGTTGACCAGGTGTTCTAAGGTCCAAGAATTTCTCAATTCTTATCAAACTGCAGTCTCCCCACACCAACTTCATCCCGAGCTGAGAGGGACTTGTTGGAGTGAGTTTGTGAGACTCGGATGTTTCATATCCTAATTTACGGCAGGGAGAGACTCTTGGGAAAATAAGGTACAAGTTTTATGTCCCGAGGCTTACATGTGGGCCCTGACCACCAAGGCCTGTGTCCCCTCCAGTCCCACCAAAATCTCTCCCCAAACCTCACAGGGTGAGCCCAATTGCCACAGTTGCGTGACGCATTTTGAAATCCTGAACATATTCTATATCCCAGCAGAAAATGAAGGGTGAGGAGGAAGAGCACCAAAAACCTCTGTTGCCAAGCTAGATAATATTCAATAAAATTAAATTAAAATTCAAAATGAATGCCGACAATGTCCATGATGAACAAAATCTCAGAACTGTAAATGACGATGCACGTTAGTCTGTTAGGGTTGTCACGGCAGGGAGGTGGCCGGTCAGCAACACCTTAGCTCTCAGCTCCGAGGACCAAAGTCCAAAGTCAAGGTCAGGCAGGGCTGGCTCCTCCCAAGGCCCCTCTGGGGCTCCCTGTGGCCTCACAAGTTCGTCCCTCTGTGTCCTGATCTCTTGAGGACATACATAGCAGCAGGCCTCTTCAGCAGCCTCATTAACCTTAATCACTTTTCCAAGTAACCTGGGGGGCCACATTGGGGTGGGGAGGGGCCACAACTCAGCCGTCACAGGACCTGACCCTGCACCTGCCTGGCCTTGACCCACCGGCCCTCCCCAGCCCTGGCCCTGTGTGGAAGAGTAGCTGCCCCCACTCCTGCTGGCCGGACACCAGGCTGGGTGCCCAAGTCGTGGGCTGGGGGCTGCCCCCTGCTGGGTCACAGCATCCTGAAAAGTCACAGAACGGGGGTGAGAGACACAGCTCTTTCAGGGAATTAAGGACCCCGAAGCTCTCTGCCTTCACCCAGGAACGGGCTTGTGTCACATTCACCTCTGAAGCCCGCGGGTTCCTGAGCTCCAGAGCCCCCATCCCAGGTCCCGCCACCCGTGAACTTTCAAAATGAGCGGAAGAGTGAGGAAGGAACGTATCCGGAGCTAGTTCTGTGGGCACATGAAAGAACAGTGTGCTCGTGATCCTGTGGAGATGAGAGGGGACTCACGCAGCCACCACCAGGAGGTCACCACGGGCAGGAGGAGTGTGACCATGCGTGGAGAGCAGATCACCCAGGGCAGCGAGACCTCGGCAAGGCCTAGGCCTCCTCCCGAGGGCAGACAGGAGCCACCAGGGGCTCTAGGGACAGATAGGATCACACATGTTTGCATGTAGGCATGGGGGGGTGATCCCTCAGGTGACGTGGGACACTTGGAAGAGGAGGACAAATTCACTGAGACTGTTAGGAGGCTCCTGCGTTATTCCAGGAGAAGTTGGGGACCGCACAGAGAAGTGGTTACCTTTGACACTGTTTAGGCACAGAAACCATATTTTATTGTTTGGAGGGACGGCTGAGGAGGTGGCAGGGTCCCTGGAGCTAACAGAGTGGACCTCTGGGCAGACAAAGGGGACCTGACCTCCCCTCCTGCTGCCCATTGGTGTGGATGTCGTGGGGAACCCTGACAGGCGCAGAAGGGGACCTGCCGGCAGAGAGCACAGCTAGCGGCCCCTCTTCACACACTGCCCTTGAGCTTCACCCCAGCTGCGTGGAGAATGATGGACAAGTGCAAATTGTGTCAGGCTGGGCGGCTCAGTGGAGGGCACTCGCCGGGCACATGAAGGCCCTGGACTGGACCCCCAGGACGGGAAAGCAACTGTACCTTCTCAAGGTGTGCAATGAGGTGACTGGATACACACACACACTCTAGTGACACCACCAATCAGCATGCCGGCACCTCACAGGTGACCGTCGGACTGGGAGAGGAGGGCACACCAGGAATCGGCTCTGCACGGTCCAAGGGAACTGCGTGGTGCTGCTCATCAGCCGCCAGGCTATACTTGCGGTCCCAGGACTTGTTCCTCGTACAACTGAAGTTGTGCCTGTGACCCACCCGGCCCCAGTCCCCTGCCGCCACCCCACTCTGCTCTGTGAGCTTGGCTGCTCGGATCCCCCCGTGCGAGATCACGCAGCCTCTGTGCACAGGAACGCGCGCACTGCCTGTCACAGGCTCATAGAACATTCCTCCCTTATTCTTCTCCTAGTTTTGAAAGTTCTTGGGGTGGTGGGGACCTGGGATGGGGGGTCTGGAGCTCAGGGACCCCGTGGGTGAATCTGACACAAGCCTGTTCCTGGGTGAAGGCGGACAGCTGCAGGGTCCTCGAGTGGCTTGTCCACCCGGCCATCATCTCCAGCCCAGCAGTGCTGCGGTGAATGCTCCCCCTTAGCTGATTGCACCCCTTGCAGGGACACGCCGCCGCTCTCTCTTCACTCGCCCGCTGACGGGCCACAGGTTGCCTCTGAGTCTTGGTGGTCCTGAGCCATGCCGCAGGGGAGACTAGGACAGGAAATCTTCCCGTTCCATACCACAGGTCCACCACAGAGGCAGGAGGTAAGGACCAAGACCCAAAGTCCGCCCTGGGACAGCTCCCTTCCCGGGGTCAGACACCCCAACCTCCGCCTCCCGCTGGGCCATGCTGGCGTCAACTGAGATGAGCGGGTGATCCACCGCAGGCTGAGAGGGGCTGGGATTCCAGACCAGGAGGCACTTGGGGAAGAAGGCCCGCCTTGCCCCACCCCACCCTGCCCGGGGTCGCCCGCCCTGGCTGACCCCTGTGCCCACCCCAGCCCACCCCAGCCTGGGTCTTGGCCCTGCACTTGCTTCCTTGGTGCCCTTCCTGTGGCCAGCACCGCAGGGCTTCCTGGAAGGCGCAGCAGCCTCCTCCGCTGTCACCACCCCCTCCATCAGCAGATCCGCCCTCTGACCACTTCCTCCTCGCGGACACCTCTCGGGCTCTCAGCCCTCCCGCTGCCTGGGCTCTATGGTGGCCACAGGTGCACTGCAGGTCTTCAGGGTTCTGAGTCCAGCTGCCCGGGATGGGCTCGCGGCACCCAACGCCCGGCCTTCCGCTTCTCTAAGACTGAAGCCCCGAGCTGCTCTCTGAGCCCTCAGAGCCCTTCATCCACTTCCCTCGTTCAACTGGACTCACCAGCGGGACGATGTCACACCTGCTCGTGACACCTGCTCTCTCCACCACCCACCTGCTCACACCACTGCTGGAAGGTCCCACACAAACCAGCCACGCGAACCAGAGGCCAGGTGGCACGTCGTGTGCATAGGGAGTGGGACTCCAGGTGACCCACGTGCACTCCTGGGTACTTACCCAAATCCACATCCTGTAGTGACACAAGTCACACAGCCAAGTCATGGAACCAGCCCAGGCGTCCTTCAGCAGATGAGCGGATGGAGAAGATGTGGTGTGCGTGGGTGTGCATGTGTGTGCATGTGCGTGTGTGCATGTGCATGTGTGTGCGTGTGTGCATGCGTGTGTGCGTGTGCGTGTGTGTGTGTATTAGTGGTTCCACTCAGCTACATAGGAGAGTGAAACCATATCCCTGTTGGTACGTGGCGGGAATCGGGGAACATCGTGCTGAGTGAAATGTGAAGCAGAAAGTCAGGGTCGATCGTGCTCTCTCATCTGTGGAAGTTGGAAACGAGGAGGGAAGTGGTTTTCATAAAATAGCACAGTGGGTAGGATGAGAGGGAAAGGGGGACAGGGAAATGAAACTGACCACAGTGTGCGTGTGTCGTCACATGACCTGCCGTGAACCCCACTGATCATGATGCACCGATCACAGGACTTTACAGAGGGACACAGATGTCTGTTTCCTGACAAGTCATGTCTGCTGGGACCTTGAAACTCCAACCTGGGCAAATGTCTTCTAGGTAAAGATTTTCACGGCTTGTTTGACTCTTACGTGACGGGCAGACAGACACGGGTAACTTCCGTGCATTTCTTTTGTAGTTGGTGGGAATACCAACTCACGTTCTGTGCGCAGTCATTGGTGAACACTTTTTTTCCCGGTGCCGGGGCTGGAAACCAGGGCCCATATGTGCCATGTGAGGCTCCACGGAGGAGCAGCTCCCCGGCCCCACCAAGCACTTTAGGCTTCTGAGTTCCCTCATATCCTTTAAAACCTCTCACCAACCCAGCGGCATCTTCATCCCTCCTGTTTAACTGGGTGCTCTCTGCCTATTTTATCATGAGTTCATGTTTAGAAGTTGTTTCATTTTCTTCCATAGGGAAAACCAATTATGGCCGGGCATAAGGTGCACACGCCTGTAATCCCTGCACCCCAGGAGGCTGAGGCAGGAGGATCTCAAGTTCAAAGCCAGCCTCAGCAACAGCAAGGTGCTAAGCAACTCAGTGAGACCCTGTCTCTAAATCAAATACAAAATAGGGCTGGGGATGAGGCTCAGTGGTCAGGTGCCCCTGAGTTCAATACCCCACAAAAAAATAAAAGAAAGAAAAAGAAAACCAGCTATGGAAACACAAGCTGTTCCATAAACCACCCTGTTCCCCGTAGATGAAGGCCAGTGTGGCCCTCAGATAATCACAGCACCCTGGTCCTCGGCTTCATTCCCAGGGTCCAAGTTACCTGCAGGCAACCACAATATCACTATGGCGCAACCGCGGTTTGAGGCGTTGCAAGAGAACGGGTGGCACGCTCACCCAGCATGCCTCAGGATTGCTTTATGGTTGCCAGTCCTACTGGGCCCGACGTATAAACTCAGCTTTCTCTAGAGCTGCAGGCACAGGGAGACCACATGGGGTTGGGTAGCAGCCACACTTCATGCCACACGGGGTCTTGGGATGGCTGTAAATGCAGACATTCACCCAGTTACTGTGCTCTCACCTGCTCAGGAAAAGAAGGGGTGCTTCCAACCTCACCCCACCACCCACCTCCCTCCTGGCTGAGGTAAGCGAAGCCCCCGCAGTGACACCCGAGGACGGCCCCTCCCTCCGTCATGGTGCTGGGGCCCCGGCCTCCCCAGTCTGAGCCCCATCTCTCCCACTCTGCACCCTCCTCTTTCCGTGCCACCTCCTCTCCTGCTGCGACCTCTACACCTGTAGGAGTCACTCCTACTTCAAAGTCCACTTTCACAGGTGCAGTAAGCGGCTGGGGGTTCTGCCCCTGGGCACACCTGGGATGCCTGAGCCCTCGCTGCGGTGGCAACACACACACATCCCACTTCCCACTGTGACCTTCTCAGGGGAGGAACGGGGCCGGGACCTGACCCTCACAATCACAGGCAGCGACTTTCAGAGCTTAAGTCACCGAGGGACATTCCACAGCCACGGAGCAAGTCACTCTGCGTCCCCTCCCCCGGCCCCGGAAACACCCATCTGTCCCTACGCATTTCACTATTTTCTATTCCCTTTTTAAATCTCACTGGTCTTGCTGGCCCCAGTGGGCAGGAAACAGGGATACAGCTGCACCCCCGGTGCACAGGGGACCCCACCTTGAGAGGGTCTGACCCTAGGTGTCAGCCATTCTGGGGCTGAAGCCTGTGAGGGGGTCTTGCCTGAACAGTGTCCCCAGGGTAAGGTCCCCTCCCCCAGTCTCCCCACTGGGTAAATAAAGACCGGGCAGGAGGTTTTTCTCACCTACAAGAGAGGAGCTGTTAAAACCTCAGCCCCAGGATGTCCAGAGCCCCTGTCCCACATCCTGTGCCTCCTCAGCACCAGGACAGCAGGGCAGGACCTCTCTGGGCTGGGGGTGGGCACGCCTTTCTGATCTTTGCAGGACGCCAGCAGCTCCTCCTCAGGTGACAAACAGCAAGTTCTCTCAGCACTGCCCACGGTCCCGAGGGCATCAGTTCACACTCCAAGGACACCCGCCTCAAAGGGGCTCTGTGCTGGTCCTCCTTTGCTTATGAAATAAATAAATCTCTTTGGGGAAATCTCTGCCAAGTTTCACTAAAATATATTTAAAGGGCTAGGGATACAGCTCAGTGGTAGAGGTTCGCCCCGCACACGAGGCCCTGGGTGTGATCCCCAGCACTGCACGATATGTAGATATGTCACCCAAGTGCACGGGGGGTTTGGAGCACTGTGGCCCAGGGCCAAGCCCCTGTTGGCACAGGGTCCTGCCCACCTGTTGACCCATGTGGCCACTTCCCTGCTCTGAGCGCAGGGCTGAGCAGCGTGGCGGGGTCTACGTGGCCTTCAGTGCCTAAAAGTGACTATCTGGCCCTTTGGGGAAAAAATCTGCCAAATCCCAAGTTAGGATATAAAAACAATACTGACCCTGTGGCTGCCGCTCAGGGGTGGAGCGCTTGCCTGGCACACGTGGGGCACTGGGTTCGATCCTCAGCACCACACAAAAAGAAAGGTATTGTGTCCATCTACAACCAAAACAGTATTTAAAAATACATACATACACCAATCCTGTAGTCACCAGGCAGCGACTGAATCAGGCCAAGGACAGAGGAATGGACTGTCCTGAGCACACTCCCAGGCCGCCCTTTTCCCAGCTAATACGCCAGCCACGCCCCTGTGACCCCCCCCCCCCAGCACATGGACAAAGGCAGCTCCAAGCTCAGGACCTTCCCTTTATTACCCCCCCGCCCCGAGGTGCCTGTGATCAGAACTCACTGTGAAGAAAGAAATCGATGCTCAAGCCTACG